GTTTCAGGCTGGACATAAGGAAGAATTTCTTTACTGTCCGAGCCCCCAAGGTCTGGAACAGCCTGCCACCGGAGGTGGTTCAAGCGCCTACATTGAACACCTTCAAGAGCAAACTGGATGCTTATCTTGCTGGGATCCTATGACCCCAGCTGACTTCCTGCCCTTTGGGCAGGGGGCTGGACTCAATGATCTTCCAAGGTCCCTTCCAGCCCTAATGTCTAAAATGTCTATGCTGGCCAGTCTGGTCACACCCCCACCCCTGCTGCTGGAGCAGCAAGATGGCAGGGACCCTGATGGGGAAAGCACTCCTTGTCATGGCTTCCCGGGATCACAAGCCTCTTCCCAGAAGAGGCGCTACGCTGCAGGTGGAAGCGGGGTGTGCAGAGCTGCCACAGACTGCACAGGGTGAGCAGCAGCACTGGGGCTCAGAGGGGCCCCCTCAAGACTCCCCTAGTACCATTGCCACCACTTGCCCCGTATATTCTGCGGCTGCTCCCACCCGCAGTGCAGCCCCTCTTCCAGGAAGAGCCTTGCGCTTCCTGGGAAACCATGAGAGGGGCTGCTGTTCCCATCACGTTCCCTCCCCTCTCACTGATCTGGCAGCAGGGGTGGGGCCACAGCTGGAGGGGAGCCAGCAAAGCTCCCTTAGGTAACAGGGCATGGTGGGGAGTTATTTCCCCCCTCCTTCCTGCGTCTGGTGGAGGGGGCAGGGAGAAAGCATATTCTACTGCTTGCCTCGTGCAGGGAGTGATCAGTGGAGGCAGCGGTGAGGGCTGGCAGACTCCAGCTGCAGTCATCCAGGAGCGGAGGGAGGAATAAAACCCCTACCTGCCCCCTTTGCTGCAGGGCCAACTTCAATGAGCTGAGGAGATTAGTGGGAGAGGCACTACAGACCTAGAGAATAGGGGAACTGGGTGCCCAAGATGAGTGGTCATTCCTTAAGGAGACGATACTCCGAGCCCAAGGGGTGACAATCCCAACAAGAAGCAAAGGGGGCAAGAGTGCCCAAAAGCCCCCCTGGCTCACCAAGGGCATTTGTGAATGCCTGATTGCCAAAAAGGAGGCGTACACCCAGTGGAAGGGAGGGGCTATCATCAAAGAGGAGTATACCTCCACCGCTCGGGTCTGTAAGGGAGCTGTTAGGAAAGTTAAGGCAGATACGCAAGGGCTAGCATCAAGGATAACAGAAAGTCCTTTTCTAAATACATAGGGAGAATGAAGAACTCCCCGGGTAATGTGGGGCCCCTGCAGGATATGCTTGGCTATCTGGTGGTTGCACCAGAGGAGAAAGCAGACCTCTTTAACAATTTCTTCACCTCTATTTTCTTGTGCAGGGACCGGGACTCCCCTACCGAGATTCAGGACGGACTCAGGAGAAACTCCACCAAGCCTAGGGTCAGGGAGGACCAGGTTAGAGAACTTCTGGAGGGGCTGGACGTATTCAAATCAGCAGGTCCAGATGCTCTCTGGAATTGGCAGGGGTTATCGCAGGGCCTCGGGCACAGTTTTACAAGCACTTGTGGTGCTCTGGCCAGGTGCCAGAAGACTGGAAGAGGGCCAATGTGGTCCCCAGCTTTAAAAAAGGGAAGAGGGAGGACCCGGGCAACTATAGGCCTGTTAGTCTTACTTCAATCCTGGGGAAACTCTTTGAGAA